CACTTCCATGGCTGGCTTTGGGCTCTCCGATCTCATTTTTTCCAGTAATCCAACAGCAGCCAATTTTTTCCCAATAAAAAAAAAATCGACAAAAATTAAATAAATATAAATAAAAAAACCCAAAAAATACTGATTTTTTTTTCTCTATACCTTATTTCTATTTTCAACATTTAAGTAAATGTCTTTGTCCTTTTAGTTTCATTTATTTTTATATTACTCAATTTACTTAAATTTACAATGTAAATAAGGAAGTACCCCTCATTTGGATTCAAATAAAAATACTAGAAAATTAAATTCCCACCAAATCAAAATATGAAAAATCGGTTTTAGTGAAAAGTGCGATTTATGCTAAAAATGATGGCTCATTAAGTCAATATATACTTCATATTAAAATCCCATAAAATCAAGTTTTCTTATTTGATGTGTAAGGAATAAAAGCCGCCAAAAATTATCTTGAGAAAATGATTATTCCGAAAAATCATTTTTCATACTTAGCCAATATTGCACCTCTGCTAAAAAAATTATGAGTCCGCCAGTGTCTATAAATACCAACCAATACTCTTCACTTTTAACACCAAATCCTCATACTTTTTTTTTTCTATAAATACCAACTAATACAACTAATAAAATAAAATATTATCCGATATGAATAGTATTGACACGTAGGAACCCAAAAATATTATCCAAAAATATTATCCAAATTAATTGTTTAAGTAAACAAAGTTGTGAAAAAAATAAAAAAAAAATGAATAGTATTTGTCATGGCAAGTTTAAACTGCTAAAAACACATTTTGCTGGGAGAAACTAGGGCAACTACTATTCATGTAAATAGTAGCTACTCTAGGGCTCCTTTTGCCATGACAAAGGATTAACTAGTGAAAATGCTCTTATGGGCAAGGAGAGAAGCATTATCCGTTTCAAAATAAAATAATAAGAATGTCAAATCATGTAAGAGGAACTCGTCGGGATAGGTCTATCAAGACAAAGAATTCGTGGGGATAGGTCAATCCTGACAAAAGCTTCGTTCGTATAGGTCTAAAGTAGTGGTTGAGGCTGTATGAATGTTTAATAAGGATGCTCACGTTGGGCTGTCTAGATGGTATCTGAGGTGATTTCTTAAGATAAGGGTGGGCTACTATTTGATTTGCCTGGATACATGCAGCGGGTCCAGTATCATCACATTATTCAATATATACACAGCATACTAGATATAAATTGTGTGAGCCCCAACCCACGCCACGATGAGATTTTCATTTTGGACACGTGTAATCTAATTTTATATTCACACTCTAGTACAGTCTCTCTCTCCACCCCACCCCACGATGAGATTGTCAAATTCAAACCTGACCTCGTCAAGTCCGTCATTCATTCCGTTATCTACGCCCTCAAGAAACCATATCCAGAAACGGGCACACCTTCTTCACAAACGAAGCGACGTTAAGTATTCATCCCATTTTCGTTCTTCACAACTCTCAACTCTCTCCCTCTCTGTTTCACAAACTCAATCAATCAATCCACTCAACTTTCTACTCCTCCGACGCGACCCAAATGGATCCCAACCCGTCCAACTTCCCCATCCTCTCCTACGTCATGAACCGCCTCCCCTCCTTGGGGACCAAGCACACCGCACCCACAACCCCCATCGCCTCTGACCTCCATTCCATCCACATCGACGCCCACCCACAACCACCATCCAAATCCTCCATCGATCCATCATCCTCCTCTCAAACCACGATCGTTGACCACATGCCTCACTTGTCCGACCCCAAGGTCCTCGCCGCCATGAGCCGGGCCATCTCCGACGTCTCCCAGACCCGCTCCGTTCTCAAAACCCTCGGCGACCGCCCCCCCCCCACCGCCCCCGACGTGCCCAAGCCACCGC